CTTGCTATTTACATCCTACCTACTCTCCATTCATCTATTCTCTGCTTTTATGTCATACGATGCTGACTTCCGTGTGTTCATTCTCTATTCAACTTCATCCAGACGGCCCAAAGTACCGGCGACACGTTTCATGTCTTCCATTCTTTGATTCGGCTTTCTCGAAAATGTCTTTTATGGCCGGATATATCAACTTGCCTAGCTTTCAGCGCTAACGGACGTTAGAAGGATGATTTAATTCTTCACTTTTTTAAGACTCCGACAAAACTTGTACCGATTACTGAACGCAAAAAAAACACAATTATCTATGAAGTACAGTCTTCCGTTATACTTTCACATAAATTACTGTCATAAACGCATCTAAACGCTGCTCAACATAAGGTGTTTGGTTGCAATTCACTTACCAACCGTTCACCGGCAGTTAATTAACCTCATGCATATCAGCGGTGAATGCGTGATTATGGTACATTGTTTGTGTGTGTTCGATTTTATGCCTCAAGGCCTTTGGGTGAACTTAAATAGCACGTCATTGAATGGCAGTCTCAAACTGCACCCTCCGTCGCAATGCAGAAAGCTGTTTTATGGCCTGCTATCTCAACTTGCGTGCCTTTCAGCGCTAACTTAAGTCGGAAGAATGATTGGATCCTGCAGCTTTTTAAGACTCCGCTTCCTGAACACCAGAGTGCATAACTATCCATGACGTACAATCATCTCTGATCCTTTCCCATGACTTACTGTCGCGAACCCATCTACACACTGCTCAATAATAAGATGTGCACATTACTGGTAAACGTAAGTGCGGGCATAATTCACCTACCAGGCCCTTACCGGAAGCTGGTTAACGTCATGCATATCAGGGGTGAATGCGTAATTACGGTGCATTGTGAGCGTGTGTATATGCGAGTTTATACCTGAAGGCCCACTTAGTCGGCTGTCGTAATTAAACTTAAATAGTCCGTCGGTGACTTTCAGCCTCAAACTGCACCCTCCGTCACAATGCAGAAACGTGCGGAATCGAAAGCTGCACCGGCGTTTCCGAGCCTTGCCGTCTGTGTCTGCATCGCTATTCATGCAGGCCTCATTACCTGGCTTATGTATCACCTCGCTGTTGAAGGTAAACTGTAATCACACTTTACCTCAATTTACAAAAACTTGCAGAGATTACAGACTGCGACGGTCTAAACAGCGCAGAAGTGTCTGTGCTCACCAGTTTCAGTGTAGGTGTCCCCGTTTGAAAC